TTTTACTCTAGCTTGTTAGGTTGAACATTTTGGCACTTCACTATCCCTTGTACAAATGTTAACCTCATTTTCAATACAAATTCCCTCTTTTGTTTTTATTGTTTGCTCATTACCTGTGTTCATTTTTCATCGTTATTTCTATCCTTCGCGTTATTTCTGTTTCTCTCAGTGTCTCTGTGCAGGTTCTCCATTCCAAGTTTGGGGGCATGACTTTTGGAATTCCCATGGTGACCTGTTGTCACACCGCCACCATTTTTCCTCCTACCTGGTATTATTGCTCTTTTTACCCTCTCTATTTTTCCTTAATCATTCTTTGTCTTCTCACATTGAGGACAATGTGACTTTCAAGTTTGGGGGTACTTTATTGCATTTTTGGTATTACATTTTTTATTGCATGCGCTAAATTGTTCATGTAAGTTAATAAATTTAATTTTTAGGAAGCAATGATCTTGTAATTTGGAACTTGTTGGAGATTGAAGCATATGTTTAATACTTTGTGTATTGAGGTAATTGATAGTTTTGAAAATAAAGAAAAATCTGAAATGATCATGTTGATTCAAACCGGTTTGTATAAATGCTTCAATTAGATTTTCGTCGGATTTCATACTTTTCTATGCTTCACACTTCATAGATACACACCAGAAACTCAATTATGAGGCATGCAACCCAATTTACCTTGACCATGACTCAGTTGATTTGAATTGATTACCCTAATGAATGGATATCTTTGGCATTAAAAAAAAAAAATAAATAAGGATAATGACTAGTTTAAGTTCGTAGCCTTGCTAACTCGAGTTATTAAGCCTTGGAGTGTTCTTACACTCAGCACCTTAAAGCCATCCAGTTTGGGAGTTGCTGGCCTAACACTTGCTACATGGGTTGGTTAGAAAGCTTAAGGGACTTAGGCATTGCACGATCATTCACGAAACAAAAATAATAAATATGGTTTGTTGGAATTCGTAGCCTTGCCAACTCGAGTTATTAAGCCCTAGGAGTGTCTTTACACTTAGCACCCTAAAGCCATCCGGTTTGGGAGTTGCTGGCCTAACGCTTGCTACATGGATTGATTAGAAAACTTAAGGGACTTCAGCATTGCACGATCATAATATGTATATAAAAAACCCATCAAATATGTGTATTTTGAATAAATTCATGCCTTAGCGACCTCATTTAAAAGGGAAATTCAATAATTTGAAGACTTGTGTTCTTGAAATGGGAAAAAGAAGGTAAAAGCCACATATTGGGAATCCGGTTCACTTTTAATGAAGTTTGAGATGATTTTTTTTTAGAGATATGACAGTTGAAGTATTTATATGGACTATGATGTTGATGCATGAGAATTGAAGGATGTTTAGCCATTTTGTTATATCAAGGCCTCATATACGCACGGTAGTCTTCATAATGATTTCATCTCCAATATTCTCTATGTTCTAAGTTGCATTTGAGGTTCGTGCATCTTCTTGGACCATGGTTGATATTTTTGGGTAGCAATCCAATGGTTGTCATTTTATTGAGTGCTTCATTTTGGTTTTGCTATGGGACTAGCAAAATGTAAGTTTGGGGTGTGATAAGCGCCGAATATTGCATATTCAAGCGCCCTTATTTGCATTAGTTAAGTCTAGTAGTTGGTTTTATTGTATAGATTATCTCCAGTTCCTCGTTTTTATGTATTTTCAGGTTTGTCTCCCAAAAAGAAATAAGGCGGAGGTTTTAAAAGCTTTTTGAAGAACAAGTCATTCCGGGCCTTTACATCCTATGATTTCCAGGAAGAAATTGCCGAATTGGGTTCATAAAGGCTCTCTATAAGATAAAAGGGCAGAAGATGGGCTCAATGACTCACATCCAAGATCAAAAGGAAAGTGAATCAATAGCTTGAAGAATTGATTAAAGTGAAAGAAGTTCAAAGTAGGAGAAAAGAAAAATAATGTCTAAGGCATGGACGAGAGCTCGTCTGGTGCCTTATGAACTCTCGTCTGGCATTCATGAGCAAGCAGGCACAGTGCGCCAGGTCACACGAGCACTCGTCCTTCTTTCGAGCACTCCAATTCGAGGCAGAGTAAAATAAGGCATTTACGAGTGCTCGTGCTATGTTTTACAAGCACTCGTCCAAACACTGCAGATCTACTTGGCTTTTTGATCCTTTCAATTGGATTCCCTCCTTAATTGGGTTGTTGGTAAAACACTTTTGGGGGACATGGACCTCGGTTTTGGAGAGGTTTGGTAGACATCTTGTTTATATGAAAGGGTGGAATCATGGAAAAACATATCTCACATTGTAAGACATTTTTCTAGAGAGAGAAATATTGTTCTAGAGAGGTTTTGGGTTGGAGCTTGTCTTAGGTACAAAAATAGAGGGTGAGTTCATATCAACCTCCTCCTTCTTTGCATCCATGGGTAACTAACTCCCTTTCTAGGGAAGTGATGAAGCCCTCCCTTGTGAGCATGCCTTAGTTTTGGTTTAAATTTGGGGAATGATGTATATATGTGGTTATTTCATAATCTAGAGCACCTTATATGTTGTAATGGATATTAATTTCTATAAATGATCATGTTGAATCTATTATCTTGCCTTAGATTATATGTTCTCATGGTTGTATGGCTTTCATTTTTTATAGTGATAATGAAAATGAGATTGTGAAATGGTTTTAATGGCATGTTGATTAAGAGGTTGATAGTCCATAGCTTAAGGCCTTCCTTTCATGGATTATTCTTGGTTTTTATCTTCATGTGCTTGTATCATTTGATTGAGGACTTGATAATCTCTAGCTTAGTGAGCATATATAAGGTTACACCCTAGTTTAGGTAGTTCAAGCATGTGAAACTTTGATAGGTTATTCTTGTTTTTTGATTTAGTGAATTTCTTGAAGATAATGTAGCAACCATGTGTTGCTACATATCCTGACCACTTATATATGTTATTTCCCCAATTTAACCATAATCTAGCATGTGTATAGGGTTGATAGTGGATTCACTTCCCTAGTCCTCTCTACCTAAATCTATTTCCTCTTTAAATTGCTTACATTTATTGTTTTATGCAATCTTTAATTTCAATTACCAAGTGACAAACCAAACAAGAACTCTACACCCCCTTTATCAAACTAAGTGATTTTCAAGACCTTGGTTGCCATAAACTAGTAATTCCAGTGGTTCAACTTACCCGTACAATAGCCCTATTTTACAATGATTTATGCTATTGAAAAGGGTTAATTATAAATTGTAATTGGATAGCACCGAGCAAAGATGGATGATTGTACGAAATTGATATCAATTACTAAGTAATATAGTGAATGACATTAGAAGAATTGGTGTTATTCGACTTACATATAGTTAGTTTTATTTTTATCTCTAAAAAAGATACATGGGGTGTATTCTCCGAGAGTTTGGTGATTTGATGAAGTTTTTATTAGAACGAATCGTTTGATTATATATATATATATATATATATATATATATCTCACAATCAGGAGAACATTGGCATTATATTGGGATGCTTCCATAATTGGTTTTATAAAGTCATGTTGGACAATTTACATTCCTCGTATAAGGAGGATGAGGGTTGAGCCCTTGGTATGTGGTTAGGCAAACAAATTTTACCTTTGTCTATGTTTAAAGTTTATGTTTCGAGATTGGATGATTACCTACAAATCTGAAAAAGGAAATTGTGTGAATCAATTTTATAAGCTTGATTCCAGAGGAGATATTCATTAAAATGAATAATGCCCTAGAACAGGGTAGACTTGTTAATGCTTTTGTGTAAATCGTTGTTTTGTGTGCTATGATAGGGTGTGCATTTAAGAAGGAGTCTATAGAGAGGACTACTGAATTGAAGGAATACTAATAGGATATCTTCTAAGAAGTTCCTAAGTTGCCATCGGCAGAAGTGCTTCACTATAAGAAGCAGTAGTATTGTGTATTGGAAGGAGGGGTAAAGGTGTTGCTCGATTTCAATAATTTCAAGCAGCTGTGTAAGGTCGCCATTTGCAATAATTAAATGTTGCTAGATGGTAATAACTTAATTTGGTTGATTTGATGTGAGAATCTAATTATTTTGAAAAACTATATTTGCATAGATGCGATTTTTAATATCATTATAGATGATATTTCGAATTATGGTAAAGTAATTCCAATTAAGAAAAGGTATAACAATAAACTTAGCTAAAATTTTGAACCGCTGAGGGATGGGGGCAAACTACCTCACATGCGAGAATTGTTAGTTGTAGGATTTACTGGTTATTACCGACAGACAAAAAAACGGATTTCTGAGATAGAGTGACCAAACACCTCTTCAGATCAAATAGGGTGCATGGTATGTATACTATTATCATAGTGGGTGACTCAATAAGAGTTAAAGAATGGATTGGCTCTTACAATTGTAGCCATTTTGTGATAACCCGAATTGTCGTATATTTTAATTTATAATTTTATTTTTATTATTATTATTATTATAGTTTTGAGTTCGTTTCACTGTTTCAGTGAAGGTGTAATTGTAGTTTTTTTATATAGTTTATATAAACGTGTGTGTGTGTAATCTGATGGAATGAAAAGGTGGCAGCAAGGTGCCGAATTGGGTGGAAAGAAAGAAATGTGGTAATGTGTTTTTGGGCCTACCAAGAGATACTGGTCTTGATTCACTATATATATATATATATATATCTGTATATATTGTATCTGTTGAGGCATAAAGGGCGCCAGCCGTGGGAATTGAGAAAAAGAGAAAAGTAGAAAGGAAAGTTGGTGTGATGTGGGCGGGACCCACTTGGGGTTTTATGCCCAAAAATTTCTTTGGTTTTAGTTTTGTGCACATGGGTTACTTTTGTGGTGGTTGGTGGTGATATATATGAAGATTTCAAAGGCTTCATTGATTTTGTGCCAGTGTATATATGATATATGCATATATGGTGTCAGATGGTGATAAGAAAGGACATGGGCAGTTGGCCGAAGAGAGGTTTGTGGGCAAAATTAAATTGGGTTGGTAGGTTGTTCACGTGGGTGTGGTCTAGTAGAGGTACGAAGAAAATAAAGGGGAAGTGAAATGATGAGAGATAAGGAAGATAGTGGGTGGTGGGTCCTTTTTGATTTTGTTGGCTGAATGTGATATTTGAAGTCAGTGCATGTTGCCTATTTAAATGTGTGTTTGTGCATTGATGGGTATTGAAGCAAAGAAGAAAAAAATAGAGTGAGCCGAGACAGAGAGTTTTGAGAGATAGTCAGAGGGCCGAGAGTTGCAGAGGAGGCCGGAGCTTGGTGCCTTGGTGATCCAGTGGGAATTAATCTTTTTCAGTGTAGGGTTCTCTATACCTTGAATGACTTGGGGTGATTTTGCTTTAATGGTTTTGATTAAATGTTTTAATTAAATGCATATGTATTTTGCTTATATACTCACATGACTATGTATATTTTGTGAACCTGTTTTATTAAACCTCCATGAAGTTCTAGTTATGGTTTTTCTTACTGGGACTTTTTGTCTCACCACCCTTTAGTTTCAGGTATCGAAGATGAACGGGGATGGCTAGATTCGGGCTTAGGCTGAAGAGTTGGCATTGCAGGATTTTATTTTTTTATTTGGAAATTTTTTTGTATATTTGAGGAAATTAATTTTTGTATAAAAGAGGGGGTAATTTTTATGATCCTGGGTGTATTTTGATGTATTTGGACTCCTATAAATTGAGGATTTTAGTGGAATTTTCGGGTCGTGACAAAATGGTATCAGAGTTGAATCCAGCCAGAAGTGTGAGTATAATGATGATGTAGACATGTGTGAGTGGACGAGTGTGTAGCACTGGTGAGCTATCACTCGTAGCCTGGTGTGTGTGGGCGGATGGCGTTCACCGGCAGCTACTGGGATGGTTAGTTGGTGTGGTTGGGCAGGTAGCGCAGATTTGTTATTATTTTTTTTTAGTGGGTGGGCAAGTGACGCATCGACAAGCTACCACAACGGTTACGGAGTGTGTGGGCGGGTGACTAGCACTGTCAGCTACTACAACGTCTTACATATCACTGTATCTTACATCGCCTGGGTTAAGGATTTGTGGATTTGGTTTCTTGATTATTAGTGTTTTCGGGTATACGGACTGTTGGATCTGAATTTCGAGGACGAAATTTTTTTTAAGTGGTGGAGATTGTGATAACCCGAATTTTCTTATATTTTAATTTATAATTTTATTATTATTATTATTATTATTATTATAGTTTTGAGTTCATTTCACTATTTCAGTGAAGGTGTAATTATAGTTTTTTTATATAGTTTATATATATGTGTGTGTGTAATCTGATGGAATGAAAAGGTGGCAGCAAGGTGCTGAATGGGGTGGAAAGAAAAAAAGTGTGGTAATGTGTTTTTGGGCCTACCAAGAGATACTGGTCTTGATTCACTATATATATATATATATATATATATCTGTATATATTGTATCTGTTGAGGCATAAAGGGAGCCAGCCGTGGGAAATGAGAAAAAGAGAAAAGTAGAAAAGAAAGTTGGTGTGATGTGAGTGGGACCCACTTGGGCTTTTGTGCCCAAAAATTTCTTTGGTTTTAGTTCTGTGCACGTGGGCTACTTTTGTGGTGGTTTGGTGATGATATATATATATGAAGATTTCAAAGGCTTCATTGATTTTGTTCCAGTGTATATATGATATATATATATATGGTGTCAGATGGTGATAAGAAAGGGCATGAGCAGTTGGCCGACGAGAGGTTTATGGTCAAAATTAAATTGGGTTGGCAGGTTGTTCACGTGGGCGTGGTCTAGTAGAGGTACGAAGAAAATAAAGGAGGAGGTGAAATGATGAGAGATAAAGAAGATAGTGGGTGGTGGGTCCTTTTTGATTTTGTTGGTTAAATGTGATATTTGAAGTCGGTGCATGTTGCCTATTTAAATGTGTGTTTGTGCACTGATGGGTATTAAAGCAAAGAAGAAAAAAAATAGAGTGAGCCAAGACAGAGAGTTTTGAGAGACAGTCAGAGGGCCGAGAGTTGCAGAGGAGGCTGGAGCTTGGTGCCTTGGTGATCCAGTGGGGAGTTAATCTTTTTCAGTATAGGGTTCTTTATACCTTGAATGACTTGGGGTGATTTTGCTTCAATGGTTTTGATTAAATGTTTTAATTAAATGCATATGTATTTTGTTTATATACTCACATGACTATTTATATTTTGTGAACCTGTTTTATTAAACCTCCATGAAGTTCTTGTTATGGTTTTTCTTATTGGGACTTTTTGTCTCACCACTTTTCAGTTTCAGGTATCGAAGATGAACGGGGATGGCTAGATTCGGGCTTAGGCTGAAGAGTTGGCGTTGCAGGATTTTATTTTTTTATTTGGAGAATTTTTTTGTATATTTGAGGAAATTAATTTTTGTATAAAAGAGGGGGTAATTTTTATGATCCTGGATGTATTTTGATGTATTTGGACTCATATAAATTGAGAATTTTAGTGGAATTTTCGGGTCGTGACACATTTCTTGAAGCAGGATTATGTATTCAGTAATCACCAATGAATTATTGTAGGAATGATATTGGGATGACAGAGGAAGAATGAATTATTGCAGGAATGATATTGGGATGACAAAGGAAGAAATGACATGGATATTCGCTTAAATATTATGAGCTTCATTATATATTTCATGATCTAAAGGTTGTTGTAGTGATTAAGCCTTACATAATAGGGATCATCTTATTGGAAAAGCTTACTGAAGGGATTAGACTATAGACCTATCCACGGAGGAAAGGGATGCGATATAACGAATATAGTTGATTTATGGGAAGTTATTACTTCTCTTATTACTATTGTTAAGAAGGACGAAATGGGGTAGCGGTTACTATTAACAGTTGACACAATACAAAATGTTTGGTCTGTTGAAGAGTTATTTAAATTGGGTAATTCGGGAATGGTAGTGTATTTATTATTAGTTAGGAGGGAAGCTCTGGTTAACTTAAAGAGGTTGAGCTGACTTTGAGTGGTAATCCATTTTACACAGTGGAATTGGTTATGGTATGAGTTACAAAGAATGACTAATAAGTCTTGTCGTCAAATTCGAGGAAGGTAATGATGACTGAGGGTTATAATTCTCAGCTTTCGAATTTTAGAATAAGGTGTCTCAGGATATGAAATGTCGAGTTGAAGGACGGGAATAACAATGGCAATAGCCATCATTATTTCTAAAGTATAGCATATGTTCGTTGTTATGAAAGATCAATAAAGATCATTCATGTTTGTGCAGTCACTTTTTCATACTAAAATGGATGTGGGGAGGTACTTCCATGAATAATATTGTGGGAAAATCAATGTGGTATTTGATTGTATTTCCATGTGGGTTATAAATAAAAAATTGGACCAAATTAGTTTATTTGCGGTTATCTCAGGTAGATGCGGCAAAAAGGGAGTCTTGAATATTATGAACAATTAAGAACATAAATTGCGGTTTTCGGAGTTTGTCTATAAAATAGTCGTCAAAAGACTGATGTGTGTTATTTTACCACTTGCAATAATACAAATCCTTTGCAGGATATGACTACTTAGAGGGTGTCGAACCTCAGGGACTATAGTGGTTTTACAAGTTTAAAATTAATTTATATTTTAATTTAGGGAAAAGTTTGTTTGTTTTGATGCAATTCAATAGCATAAATAGAAAAATAAGCAAAGTAAAGATTTAGATTAGAGAGAGAAGATCTTAAGGCTTAATTTCACCGCGAACCTCATACTATGACCAATTGTCTCAACCTTGGGATTTCAATGTTTATGTATAACTTAGAATTAAAAATCATTAACATTCAGTTTAAAGAAAGATAAATGATGAATGTTTGCTAATAATAACCTATTTTCGGTTGGCACAAATTATTTACCTACCTACTTCTAACTAATTTTGCATAATAATTCGTCTTCCCTAAGCATAAATTATGAAAACATTCATTCACAAAAACGGTTTACACACCCCTTAGTCGTCAATCTCAAACAATAAGAATAGATTGATTTTGATTTAAAGAAGAATTACTTCTAAGACCAAAGATTAATTTATCAAAAATCAATTTATTTAATTAAAAACCCAATTGCTTACAAGATCTAAGTTAATTACTCAATAACCATGCAATCAATTATACATTAATAATGAAAATCCCAAAATTTAGAACAATCAAACCATAGTAATCGAATTTGGGTTACATTAATGCCCTAAGAAGGGATTTAGCTACTCATGGAAATGGAGAATATCATCTTGGTTGGTGTGGAAAATATCTCCATGGATTGCACTTCTTTTCTCGGGATCTTCTTCTTCAATTCTTCAGAGAAAGCTTCAAAACCCTAAAAGCCACCGCCGGATCTGAAAAGTTGCAAGAGAGCTTTCTTATGACCTTTCACCTTCTTTTATAAAAGAAATCTGACTTCTATTCCCTCTTGGATACGCTATAGGATATATGGAGTCTTTTGGGCCCATCTGGGGTTAAAAAGGTTGAAAATAGAATAATCTCGTAATTATTTTTAAGTATCAGCATAAGGGTGCTCGATCACCATGGCTAGGGTGATCGATAACCCTAAACAGTGCTTGATCATCCTCTCCAACACTTAGCCAAAATTCTTCATTTTATTTTTGAAGTGTCTTTTTGCCAACACTTAGCCAAATTTTAGGATTTTTCCTCATGGTGCTCGATCACCATGCCTAGGGTGATCGATCACCATGAATAGGGTGCTCAAGTACTGTGATGCCTATGGATTTTCAGATGCGGGTTGACCAAACCCATGCCTGAATACCCGAGGAGATAAAAAACAAATGGCAATAATCGAACACAGAATATAAATATGCTAAAAAGGAATAAATAAAATTGCTGAAAGAAAACTAAAATGATATTCCATTAATGAAATCCTCAGAATAAATTTTTATAAATAAAAAAATATTCTGATACATCCAATCCTCCATTACTAATATAACTCCGGAATCCATACTATGTGGACCCCTAGAAAAAAAAACCCAACTGAACAAGTGACTACATCAGAACATTAAAATGTAAAAAAAACTCCTAAATAAATAATCCAGAAGAATGAAGTAGACGATCCCTGATTAGAACGAACAATCCCTACTCCTGACGAATACCTGAAAAATGATGGTGGGTCAGGCCCACAAACAAGTTCTACTCTACTACAGTCCAACCAGAGACCCCGATAAGCGGATACATCCTAGACAACCCCAACAATAGCTAAGTAGTCTATATATGTATAAATACACACTATATGACGCTCGCTAGTCCATTAGTCTATCTCAACCTGAATAGAAGGTAACATGTAAATGGCACATAAAGTGGCCATGTATACCTAGACCCACCAGGGAATATCAACTATGTCCAGTTATCCATCCTAGGCGATATACGTACCCTAACTATGATCTTGAGACTCAAACTCATATCACGGTACCATAATCATATATATATACAATATCCTTCCTAATACAGAATATAAAAACAAACATCCGGTATGTCATTTAACTGTTTTAGTTGACCTGATATGAAAATATGTAGGATTTACATTTTTGGTAAATCCATTCCGTTATGCGTGAATAGGTAGGAATTAGCGTTTTGATTTAATCCATCCTTAATATGCCACCGTCCTATACCTGTGTAAATAATTCACAAAATCCATAAATGATGCAACATCCAAACTAATACATCAAATAAATCCACAAATCTAATAATTAACACAATAAATGATAAATTTAAACATCAATTAAAATCGAAAACAGTCCAATAATTGATAAAACAGAAATAAGTAATTCATCAATTATACTCCAAAATAAGTATAAATAAAGTCTAATATATATGACCATATTATGCACCCAATATAAGATTTAAAAATCATGTTTCAGTCATTTAAATTGCTAAAATAAGAGTAAGCAATTAAATCCTTTATATTCGTTAACAACATGCAAAATTGTTTAAACTTTCATATTGTTCAATCCATTAGCATACAGATATAAATTATGCAATATGGGGTGTTAATTTATCATGAAATAATATTTAAAATCCTCAATATTGACCCAAAAACAAAATTCAGGAACCCCAAACATCCAAACAGTGCACCAAACAACTTCCAGTATGCATTTAGGCAAGGGAACAAGCTCTCAAAAGTTGAAAGGCAGCTCTACACCCATGAGAGCCGGCTCCCTTACCCTTAGAGCTGGCTCTGTGCCTTAGGGAGCTGGCTCCATGGTGACTCTCTCTCACATAGAGCCACGACCAAAAAAAACTTAGGGAGCTGGCTCCTTCCCCTTTAGAGCCGGCTTTATCCCTGCTTCCCATCATCGTCTTCATCTCCAATTATGTTAAGATCCCTCTGTAAGTCTTAGTTACAGTCCTTAGATGTCCAACTATGTCCCAAATCATCCAGGAAAAACATATAAACCCAGTACACATTGTTTACAAGAATTAAGACATAACACAAAACAATTTACATAAGATATTAGTTTTAATTTAATCAACAAAAAATATAGTTTAATGTCTGAATTAACATGCATACAAGACCTATTTTAATGTCCGATTAAACTCTAGAGATTATCTAGGCATGCACAGAACACTGGTCAAAGGGAAAGAGCAAGAAATAGAACTTGCCTCTGATTTCAGTTTTGAAACCTTAAACCTTCGTCACAGAAAAATTTGACGACCCTGGTTTCTTTCACAGACCCTTCGTTGCTTTTGGTTCAACCCACAAGCAAGCGTTAATCACATCTCCTTGGTTCAGCCCTTGTTTTAGCCAAACCCTAATTTTTCTCCCTCTGTTTTCTCTCAGACTCTATGCATACGTGAATAGGGTTTTGTTTTAACCCTTGGCCGACGTATAAAGTTATAAATATATAGGCTTGATGAAAACCTAATTCGTATTCAAAGAAGAGATAGAAAAGAAAAAAATAGATATAAAATATAAAATAAATATATATAAGTCGGCTACCTTAATTTTATGTAATACTTATATACGAAAGTGATCCTAATTTAACCATTATTCATAATTAATAATTAAATTAACCTTATATACATATATACCCATATATACATGTATGTACTTTCATGGGTAAAAACTGTACCCAATTACATTATCTAAATAGTTCGTTGATCCTATCCAAGCCCAACTTTGTTTAAAAAAAAATAAAAATAATACATTTAATTTCCACATAAGCATATAATTCAATTAAAACAAATAAACAAAGTTAAACAAATAATTATAATTCACATAATCAATAAAACCTATAACATTAAACCACATAAACATATAGCCACGTAAACAACTAAAAATGCACAAGAAATAGAAATTTAAATTTCAATTATATCCTTTTGAAAATTAGGGGTATTACATTCTTCTCCCCTAACAAAAGGAATTCCGTCCTCGGAATTCATGTAACTCTGAATTATTTTTGTTAACATTCATTTCCATGCCGTTGTGGATTCTGCCTCTGTGTATGGGCT